GAGAAAATGGGGGGGGGGGGGAAGGGTCCTTTTTGATTTTCCCCAACAAACTCCAGTTTGTTCTCCCTGCTTGCTTGTGTCAATCCTGAAGCTGGGGCCATCTTTGAGGATTCAGGGCTGCCACTAGATGGGAGGGGGGAGGGAAATATTTAGCTGGGGTCTTGTAGTCAAAATAATAAGTTTTCTTGTGGGAACCAAGATCATTCCAACAGGTAGCTGGGAGAGGAGGAGCGAAGTAACCAAGCAACTGGCCAACATCTTGATTGGACCATGTGACTGATGACTTGAGGAAGGGGGAAAACTTTCTCTTTTAATTAGGTGAAAACCGCAGGAACTTTCAGAGTGGGTTTTCACCCGTTGTGCCAATATGATGTATCCAATAAAATGGTCCTTCGAGGAATCTACCTGCCTTTGGAGTTCTTTGCGTGTCTGTTGTGTATTATTGGGGGGGCAGATGAATGCTGGGACCCTTCTTCTCAAACACTCGGCTCTGGATTTTGAAGTAAAATGGTAATGTTTGCAGCAATTCTCAGAGCATTTTTAAAAGCCCGACTTCAAACAGAAGGAGCCCGATTTGGTTTCTTCCCCCAAGGCTCTGTAGAGCCGAAGCATGAAAACAAACCTCCTTTTCCATAAGGAGGCTGAGAAAGGAAGTCCAGCAGCCATTCCCTTGGGAATGAGCCAATCTGAAACGAGCAGGGATCTGTGCAAAAGGAAATGGCTTGATCTGTGACATTTTCTAAAGCAAAGCAAAGAGAGAGAGAGAGAGAGAGAGAGAGAGAGAGAGAGAGAGAGAGAGAAAGAGAGATAGCCAACTTGAAATCTAATCGCTAAGAGAAATCCGCCGTCCCAGGAAACAAAAGGGAAGAACAATATTTTTTGGGAAAGCTACTAAGTCAGGGTTCAGCACCTGAAGAATGCAAGTTTCAGCCTTTCAGGATCTTGAAATATGCCCTGTGTGTGCTCTCCCGACTCCTTTTCGTGGTTCACCTCCCCAAGTTTGGCCCTGATCCACAAGTCTGTGATTCACCTCCTTGGCTTGTGCTCCTTTGCAGGCAAGGCGCCTTGGTGATATGTTTTTTATTACCTTTTATTTATTGCATTAGCACTTCATTATTGAGGGTGAGATGAAGTTTGGTTATTAGGCACAACAGAGGCAGGGACAGGATTCTCAATCGGTAACGCAACACGAAAGAAATTTCAGAGGGACGAAGAGGCACCTCCCCAACCTCACTGTTGCATAAAAATCACAGCACCTGAAGGAAAAGGAGGTTTTCCTTAAAAAAAAAAAAAAAAGGCATTTTAGGAGTCTCCCAAACATCCCCCAAAACTGGGGCTAAATAGAAAAAAGCCATGGATTTAGAGCAAGATTTCGTTTGGTGCAGGAGTTGTATGCATACAATTTCATGCAGGGCTTTCAAACTGAATGCAGAGACCACTTCTCTCATCCCTTTTTTGCCAGTGGTGAAATCCAATTTTTTTTTACTACCGGTTCTGTGGGCGTGGCTTGGTGGGCGTGGCATGGCATGGCTTGGTGGGCGTGGCAGAGGAAGGATACTGCAAAATCTCCATTCCCAACCCACTCCAGGGGAAGGTTACTGCAATACCGGGCTGGCTTAATATATTTTTTTTAAAAAAATTTTTAATTGGTTTGTTATTTTAAATTGGGGCCAAATTAATATATATCTTTTTAATTGCTTTTAATGTTTGTATTGCATGTTTTTATCTGGCTGTACACCGCTCTGAGTCCCTCGGGAGAAGATGCAGTATATAAATTCAAAATAAAATAAAAATAAATAAATAAAATAAAATCCCCATTCCCACCCCACTCCAGGGCAAAATCCCCATGTCCTCCCGATCAGCTGGGGAGGGGGCCAGTCAGAGGTGGTATTTACCGGTTCTCTGAACTACTCAAAATTTCCGCTACCGGTTCTCCAGAATCTGTCAGAACCTGCTGGATTTCATCCCTGCTTTTTTGCCCGTGATGTTCTAAGGGGCTCCCCCTGCTGGAGATTCAGAGAGAGGCAGTTTTGGGAAAACCAAAGTCAACAATGCATGAGAAGAGAAAGAGAAGAGAAACTGAGACAGCCTACATCTGTGGTGGCGAACCTTATGGCACGCGTGTCCAAGGTGACACGCAGAGCCATCTTTCTGGGCACGCAAGCTGCCGCCCAACTCACCTGCAGCTGCGCATGCACACACCCCTCCAAGCTGGTGTTCGGGCCTCCGGTGCGCATGCACACAATTCCAGACACCCAGCTGGTCTTCGGAGCTCTCCTGTGCATGCATGTACATTTGCGTGTGTGCATGAGTACCTGCGCACAGTGTGCATGCACAGATGGCATCTGCACACATGCATTGCGTGCACGAAAGCCGTGTGCATGAGCATATTGTGCAATTGCATGCACAGCGCACAGGGGGAGCCGGGCGAAAGCTGGTTGCATGCAACCCCAGCCCAAAGAAGGAAACAGCTAGATGCCTTCGAATCTGTCTGTTACTCAGACAAAGGTGGGTATCTAAGGCATCTATAAATATGCCCCTAAGTGAGATGGCAAGACATGTTACTTCCCGGAAGGTGGAAGAGCAGTTTCTCATTCTCTGGCTCTTAATAGGCCCTGTTTCCCTTTGACAGTTCCCCACAGCTCTGCTCTGATCTCAGCCAGCAAGACTCCATGGACGTATCTGTCTTCTCAGAGAAATGCTGAAGCAAACATTTTCATTCGCTGGGGAACCAACCAACATTCCAGAGACAAGCATATCAGACTGACACACAGAAAGTAGTTTTAAGCTAACATCTTTAAGCAAACATTTGTTATTGTTAGTTGCGAAGTTGTTCCGACCTATCGCGACCCCATGGATAACGTTCCTCCAGGCCTTCCTGTCCTCTACCATCCTCTGGAGTCCATTTAAGCTCACGCCGACTGCTTCGGTGACTCCATCCAGCCACCTCGTTCTCTGTCATCCTCTTCTTCTTTTGCCCTCCATCATTCACAGCATTCGGCTCTTCTCCCGTGAGTCCTTCCTTCTCATTAGGCGGCCAAAGGATTTGAGTTTCCTCTTCAGGATCTGGCCTTCTAAAGAGCAGTCAGGGTTGATCTCCTCTAGGACCGACCGGTTGGATGGCCTTGCAGTCCAAGGGACTCGCAGGAGTCTTCTCCAGCACCAGAGTTCAAAGGCCTCCATTCTTTGGTGCTCAGCCTTCCTTATGGTCCCAATTTTCCCAGCCATACCTTGCAACTGGGAAAACCATACCCTTGATGACACACACTTTTGTTGGCAGGGTGATGTCTCTGCTTTTTAGTAGGCTGTCCAGATTTGCCATAACTTTCCTCCCCAGGAGCAAGCGTCTTTTGATTTCTCAGCTGCAGTCCCCATCTGCGGTGATCTTGGAGCCCAGGAAAATAAAGTCTGTCACTACTTCCATTTCTTCCCCATCTATTTGCCAGGAATTGAGAGGGCCGGATGCCATGATCTAGCAATACAGCTTTTAAAATTAAACGGCCATTGAGACGGCTGAGTAAAAACCTATTCCTTACTCACTTCTCTGGTTCATTTGCTGTCTTAATATCAATGCAACCCTCTTTATTAAAAAATAAAGAAAAGAAAAGGAGACATATGCAGCTTGGTGCCTGACTAGGTGGCTCAGTGGCTAAGACACTGAGCTTCTCGATCAGAAAGGTCAGCAGTATGTTGCTTTTTCAGAGGCCAGGAGGTCAGTTTTGCCTTCCAGGCTCTCTGTCTCTGCTGTATGCCTGGAAGTTAGGAGCAGAAACTGCATTTTGATATCCCAATTTGGCAGAACGCCTTCTACAGTGATATGGTTACGGGATGGCCCTTACTCGCAGAATGCTACCTCTAGAAATCCCCTTTCTCAAGCATTGGCATTTAATATCCAAGTGGAGATGTGAGGGTTCAAATGCTGGCAGACTTTGGGGCAAAAATACCTGCCTTGTGTCGCCTGGCTCTGAAAATACATTCCTCATATAATAATAATAACAACTTTATTGTCATTGTACGTGTATACACAGTATACCCATACAAAGAAATTCACTTAACAGCCAAAGACCAGGTCCAACACACATAACGATCCCCAAACACACTCCCACCCACCAGAATTCCCCACCCCAAAACCACCCAAACATCCACACAACAGACCATATTTAGGTAATGGGATCTTCCTGGTGTCATGAACTGTTTGTGGGACATAGGTAAGAAACAAGAATAATAAATCTGTTTCTTGCAAATAACAACTGATCCTTGTATTCCACCATGCTAAGAAAAATGTTATAAATTACAGTTATTTCTGACAGATAAGAAAGCAGAAGACGGGCCAATGTTTGTAGACATTTAGCATATATTAATTTACTCTATGCAAACAGGTATGTGCTTTCAATATCGTAAGGGACCAAAGCATGAATTTCCTTATGTTTGCGTATATGCCGTAGAATATTTAAAGAAGATACATTATGGTGTTACATTTGCATTTTTACTTCCTTCTTCCTAAATACAAAGTTAAATCACTATGACTCACCGGAAGTCAGTGGAATACATACATAAATTAGGGAAACAAACAGAGATCAGATGTAGCCGAGTGATGCTAATGCTTTTAACATTTAAGCAAGAAATTGTTTAACCTCGTCAGAAACAGGCTGGATTTGTATTTAAATTCTTCAGTACGGATTCCTGCATTGTGATGTCAAGTAGGGAATTTGTATGGATTTCTTTTTTTTCTGTTTTCTGATAACCAAGAGCCAATTTGGTTTAATAATTAGAGCAGGAGGCTAGAAGCCAGCGGACAGCGAGTTCTAATCTTGCTTTAGGCATGAAAGCTGATTAGGTGACTTTGGGCCAGTTACTCTCTCTCAGCCCAACTCACTTCACAGGATGGACACTGCGGGGGAAAATAGGTGAAGGAAATATTGTATGTGCTCACCACCTTATTTTTTAAAAATAATAAAGGTGGGATATAAATAAACCAGCATAATAAAGGCCCGTCTTACCTGCAACCATGTTGTCATCCTGCTCTGTTCATTTCTGGAAGTCTGCTGCCATCACAGGTGTTTCTGGAAAGATGTTAGAGAAGGCAGTTCATTTACAGGACTATCACCGCTCCTGCATTGCTGGCTTTACTATTTTACACAGCAATTTCTGAAGTACTGGAATTCCTACTTTATATATACCGTAGTTAATAAAACCCAGCTGAATCTAAGATTAGTTAAGTTACTAATTTAAACATAGCTTAAGCATAACTGAAGTTACTAGTGCAACACGGTGTACTAGTCGCTCTCTATATAAATGTACATTCACACAGACGTGTGTCTGTCTATATACAGTGGTGGCCAAAATTGTGGAAACCTTTTGGGAAAACTGTATTTTCTAAAACTAGCTTTTTAACACCACTTTTTTTTTTTTTTTGAGTAGGACCATAAAATTATATATTAATGGAAAGATAATTTAACCAAGACTGTAATGCAATAACTTTTATGAAGGATTTGCTATTAGAATAGCAGTTACAGTATAAAGAAGAAAAGTGAAACACATAGAAAAAACGAGATATACAAAAATGATCCCCATGTCAGTTAATCCTTAGTTGGGTAACCTTTAGCATGAATGACGGCCTTACAATGTCTTCCCATGGAGTGAAACAAGCCTTTTAGTTCTGCAGCTGTTCTAATGTGAAACCAAAATTGAATGATTGCTTCTGTTAACTGGGTTTTATTGATCTCAGCCAGTTATATATTTTTCAGGTTTTTTTCTGGTAGGCATTTCATGGCATTTTCCATTCATATATATACATATATATATATAAAGTAGAAAACTCTGCTAGATGTAGGAGAAGAACTTAAAACATAAAATGGCTGGCCCCTTTTTATAAAACTGACAATTTTAGGTTTAATCAGGGTCTTCTTAAAGAGGAAAGCTACCTCATGACCTGTTTGTAACACCAGAATTCGAGAAAGATTTCTTATCTTGAAGAAAGAGAGCAGTTGTCTATATTATTGGATTTGTCCACTTTTTCAATTTATTTCTATAGGGATCAAAGATTTGAAGCTAAAGATCTGACAACAGTGCTTTATCCAGGTTAAATAACAAGAGGCTCAGCACTGACAGAAAGTTGTTTAAAGAACTTGGGATGCTGGGCTTTTGGCAAATGATCTGCAATTAAGAGTGTGAAGACACTCTGCCTCTAAAATTAAATATATGATGTAAAGGAGAGTGAAATGTTCATTCAGTGAGGCAAAACAAAACCTTTGAGCCTTCTCTTTATTTAACAGAAAATGTATGATGCCATATGGAAACTTAAGGAAGACTACTGCAGTCTGTTTCTTTTTCCTCTGCCTCAATTATTTCACCTTTCCCTTAAAACAGGCCAGAAGCCCAGCTGTTGCAAAGCACCTCTCCAAATACCAGCATATCACTCACTTCGACTAACTAAAACATTCCTTCCAAGCTAACAGAGCGCTTTAATCTATAATGGGAGCCCTGCGGTTAAGTGCTATAAAAATACTTGCTTGCAAATCTGTTACAATCAGACAATACTTATCTCTAAAGCTTGTTCGGGAGATTTTAGAATAATCCCTTGGTGAGACACCATGTTCCTATAAGAGGTGACACGGGATTTTTATAACAGGGTTTCCAGGCCGCCCTTTAATCAGCTGCAGACCTCGGCCTCCCATTTCTTTTTCTCAGTTGCTTTCTCTATAAACAATAACATGCAATTATCTCTGATTTATGTTCCTGTCCTGACAACAATTTGGTCTTTCCTTTTTTTCCCCTCTAGGATAGCCACAATGAAGAATGTCTATTTTTGATTACAAGTATTCCAATCCTAGCTGGAAGGAGGCTACACAAATCCTCCCTTTCCACTGACACAGTGAAACAAACCATCCGTGTATTCAAAACATTTGTTAGAGGTTAAAAACCAAAGTTGGGGAAAGCCTCAAAGAGCCTCCTTATGAACTTGAGCACTGCACCTCAAAGAGGGAGCCGTAAAATGGGGAAAGGTGCAAAGAACTGCGGAGCGAAACAGGCAATTCTGCAAGCGAAGCTGAGCCTGTATTCTGGACCAGAGGTGAAATCCAGCAGGTTTTGGAGAACCGGTAGTGGACATTTTGAGTAGTTTGGAGAACCGGCAAATACCACCTCTGGCTGGCCCCAGAGTGGGGTGGGAATGGAGATTTTGCAGTATCCTTCCCCCAGGAGTGGGGAGGGAAAGGGGATTTTGCAGTATCCTTCCCCCAGGAATGGGGAGGGAAAGGGGATTTTGCAGTATCCTTCCCCTGCCACGCCCACAGAACCAGTAGTAAAAAAAGTTGGATTTCACCACTGCTCTGGACCACCAATCCCGGAACTCCGACCGGGGCCTGCTGCTTGAAAGGAAGGGCAAAAGCTGCCTCTCCATTCAGGAGCCACCAGCTTGGCCACAAAGAAAAGAGGGTTGCTGCTTTTTCTATGGAGCCACAAGTACAAGGGGTCCAGATTACAAGGATAGGGGTGATGATGATGGTGGGGATTCAGGAGGATAAATTGTCGTTTTTTTCCCCAACCCTATAACACCAGGGAGCCAACCGCCTGTCTCTGCCTGTTCAAATCCACCCAGACTAAATTGCAATTACAAACCATATTTTCAAAAAATAAAACACTTTGGACAGTTGGCTTTGGGTTTAAAAAAAACCACGGCTTTGCCAAGCTGACGGACCTAAAGCGCCAAACGTTTTATTAGAGCTTATAAAGCCCATATTTTGTTACTTCTAGTCGTAGGAAACTTCAGCAGGGTCCATGTTTGCAACCCACAAGGAGCCAGAGGAGGAAGAGGAGAAAGCAGAACCCACATTTCTACTCCTCCCTCCAGCTCTTCTCGTAAAATAGGCATCCTGCAGCATTTAACAAATGGACCAATAAATCTTATTCCGCATTCTTTCCATTTTTAGAAAGCTTATTTTGCCGCCACGGGCTGCGATGCAGTTGTGCATATATATATATACTTAAAAAGAGGATCCTGTTAAGATACCTGTGTGTCTTTGCAGGACTCTTAGACTTAGCAAAAAGACTTGGAGGGGCCTAGTGAGGAGAGTGACCCCTTCTTACCAAGGTGGCTGCACATCGATTGAAAGGTCCAGTTTTTGACTCAAGCATCAGAACGGAAGAATCTGTTGCCTTTCTCCCCACATAATTGTAGGGTTGGTCGGCAACCAGGACAGTCCCTCCTAGCACATTCCTTTCTTTAGTGGGAAAGAGATATTGACTCTTGACCGAGCAGGGCTTGAAACACAGTGGCATTTCCTGACTGGATGCCGTGTTAAACCTTTCTAAAAACCTCTCTGAAATGCTCTCGTAAAGTGGACAATCCAGAAAGTTGCATAGCCCCTGTGGACAGTCGGTACAGAAAACGAGTTTGGGTCACTTTGGGAAAAGAGGCAAACGGCACTGTGTGGTGCGGCGTGGAATTCCAAGTGTGGGTTAGCTCCACAATCCTTGGCAAGCATGCGCTGGATTTTATTTTTCCAGTCGAGGGGAATAAGTCTGCTAAAAGGAGCCACGATAGGGGTTTGTAAATTAGGAACGGCTGTGAGGAGGAAGCAGATACAGATATATTTTTTTTCTGCATCTCTCAGTGGCAGAGTTCTGCGGTCACCCGTTGGAACCGATGGGCTGGAGATGATCTGAGTGGAATTTGCTGCCCCAGAGATGTGGTGGTTGGCTCTGGCTTTAATTGCATCGGTGTCAGGAGGGAGATAAATTTATAGAGGAGAAATGTTCCCATTTCTTGAGGAATTTGTACCAGTTTTTCATTATGTTACCATAAAACACCCAAAACAGAAAATGATGCTGTGCAATAAAATCGACCAATAAAATCTAAAAAGCCATAATCAGCAACTGTGAGGGAGACCAGCAATAAGAGGAATTAAAAGAGGCCTTAATTGTCCAATCTGCTGGTTCAGAAAGAATCCATGTGAAGGAAGAGGGGATGTCTTCTCTGCCAGACAAGACTGCACCCAGGGCTGAACCTGAGCCAAGACCCAGAGAAGGAACGGGAAGAAGGAAAGCCCACTGCAGGCACCGCCTCAACAGCCACCTTCTGTGGATTCCCTGCCCATGTTTTGAGGGTCAAAAAAGCATTTAGCGTGGGGAGCAACAGGCCTGGCAATCCCATGAGCTGCTACTCCCTTCAGAAAGCTGCACCTGTTTACACGTGGACTGCTTTCTCTCGACCTTTCCAGGGTCATCTTGCAAGGGCCTCAATGCCTCACCCAAGGACATTTTGGCCCAAGTGCCAAAAGGGCAAGTGGGACTTCACCGTCTATTCAAAAGAAGATGACAACGGGCATCAAGGGAGCCCCACCAAAGACATTCTGAGCAATTCTGCAGCTGCCTTCCCAACTATCCAGAAAGGCTGATGGGATGCAGGAGGGATTGGTTGGTACAAGAGCACCCTCTGGTGGCAATCTCAGATATGGCTGAGAGATGCCATAAAGAGAAGCAGCCAGCCTTGAAGGGGGCAATGAAACCGCACCGGGGTGCAAGAGCAGACGCTTCACATCAGGACCCGCCCAGTGCCCTGCCTCTTTGCACTCGCTGAAAGAAGGGTGCTTCGGTTTTGCAGGTGTGCATATTTTTATTCAACAGTGACGATCAGCTTCAGCAAGATGCATCTCAGAAAAGACCGTGGTAACAGACAGAAGTACAATTTTCACCCCTCTCCAGCTGGAGGAGCCTTTCCCAGAAAGGACTCTCAAAGACCTCTCTGCATTTCTGAAAGCCGAGCGGGCTTCTGAACGCAGCTTGTTCCCCTGACCGGTGACTCCAGGGACCCAGTGCATGCCTTTCAAGAGCCAAAAGATCGGTGGACGAAGTAACACCCACGCCCCCACTGGCTCTGGGCTCGGCCTGTGGGGAGAAAAAGAACAGTGTTGCAAAGTCTCCTGGTCATTTCACTTGATGGTGCCCATGGGGCATTCCTTCGAAGGAGATGACACCCAAGGGATTCCGCTAAGCTTTTGCATGCTTCTCGCACCACGTTCCAAAGGGTGATCTCTTCACAACACTCAGAGTCCAACTCTCTTCCCAGAAATCAGCAGTGCCCAAGTGTCAGAGGAGCCTGGCTCTCGCCAGCCCACGCAGGAAAGCCTCCTCTCCTACACCCGTGTGCCCTAAGAAAAGAGGCCACCTCAAGTGAGAGAGAAAGTGGAACAGGCTACATACAGGCCTGCTGGGGAAGATGTCGGGATCAAGGGAGCTTAGAGACCTGTAGAAGCAAAACACCTGGCCTCAGATAGCTGAGGAAAAACCAGCCTTGTCCTCCTCCAGCACTGGCTGAAGGGGAAGCCTGAGATCATTGAGCTACCCCCTTGCCCAGTTTAGCTTTATCTAATGCTGCAGCTGAGAAGCTAGAGCAATTGTGCCCAAAGGAGTCCCTCTCTGTCTCACAAGTCCTCAGCAGAGGTCCCCACCTCTGGCACAAGGACCATTAAACTGAGTTTAATCCTTCCATGCAGAGCTCACCTCTTCCTGCAGGCCACCCACTGCCTCCTGTGGCTGCCCTTGCAGAGCTTCTTCTGCTTTGGCTTCCACTCCTTCAGCCTTTCCTGGGCACTCGGTGTCCTGGCCACACAGGAATTGTTCACGCGGCGGCGGCGGGGGGGCCTCCTGCTCAGGCTGCAAGGTTTCACTCACTACTTCCTCTCTGTCCAGCTGCGGACAGAGAGTGGACAGAGTGGCCTCCAAAGCCAGCCGGGCCTCGTGAGCTCCTTTTTCCAATTCGGCAGCGCTCCCGGCAGCCTCCTGACAGGCCACCCTCACCCTCTTCTCCAGAAAGGCAACTTCTGACCTGAGTCGCTCCGCCAGCCCTTCCTTCTCTTGGATCTGGCTGGCAGCACGGAGCATATCCGCTTGAAGGGAAGCCATGACTTCTTCCTGCTTAGTATTCAGCTGCTTTATCTGGGCTTCCAATTCTGCCACCTTTTCCTGCTCTATCTTCAACTGCTGGTGTCGTTCCTCCCAGTCGGCACTCAAAGCTTTTACCTGGGCCAAAAATATGAGGTGCGCGCTCTTCAAAACCTGGTTCGGGTTCAGTAGAACGACAACATAATTCTACCTGTGACCCCTTACACTTCCCCCTGTTCTGCCTCCCATCTTGTACTTAGCAAGAACAGCAAGCAACTGCAGCAATTTCACAGCCCCTCTGAGGATGAGCTGCAAAATCCAGCCCTTCAAGACATTAAGGCCAAGCTCTCAGAAGCTGACAGGCAGAAAGCAGTAACACAGTTGGAAGGGACCTTGGAGGTCATCTAGTCCAACCCCCTGCTCACGCAGGAAACTTGTACTAGGGATTCGAACCCCCAAACTGCCGACCTTTCTGATGGACAAGCTCAGTGTCTTAGCCACTGAGCCACCTAGTCAGGCTAAAAGCAAAAGAAATTGTTATAAAACATGAAAAGTGAATGCCGGTGGAGGATTCGGAGGGAGTAAAACTGACAGAGAGCAAAGAAACCAAGTTATAGCTGTTATGTATTTTCTGTGGACCTAGAAGAGAGTCACTGCTGTGCTAACAGCCAATGAAATGTCTAATTTTTGATAAGTTTAACAGGTAACATTTTTACTGCAACCTGAGAGAGGAAACCCCCCTCCCCCAAAGTATGTGGAGGGTGTAGAAATGTTAAAACCTTGTCCAAACTGTCAACACCATTAGCAACCTATCTTTCTCTGGCAAGGAAAGAAGATTCCTCCCAAGAAACCCCATCCCTCTCTCCTGCCTCCAAGACAACAGAGCCATTCTGGCTGACCCAAAAGGAGGCTGGCTCTGCACCAGGGGTGAAATCCAGCAGGTTCTGGAGAACTGGTAGCTGAAATTTTGAGTAGTTCGGGGGGAACCGGCAAACACCACCTCTGGCTGGCCCCAAAGTGGGGAGGGAATAAGAGATTTTGCAGCATCCTTCCCCCAGGAGTGGGATGGGAATGGAGATTTTGCAATATCCTTCCCCCAGGAGTGGGGAAGAAATAAGATTTTGCAGTATCCTTCCCCCAGGAGTGGGGAGGGAATGGGGATTTTGCAGTATCCTTCCTCAAGGAGTGAGGAGGGAATGGGGATTCTGCAATATCCTTCCCTCAGGAGTAGGGAGGGAATGGGGATTTTGCAGTATCCTTCCATCAGGACTGGGGAGGGAATGGGTATTTTGCAGTATACTTCCCTGCCACTCCCACCAAGCCACGCCCACAGAACTGGTAGTTTGTTTTTTTTTAAAAAAATTGAATTCAACCACTGCTCTGCCCCCACCTTTGTCTGAATGGTCTCCACTTGGGAGAAATCCTCTTCCATTTTCTTTTGCAAAGCCATCTGAGGGAGAAACAGAATTGAGCTGCAGGGCTCCTTTGGGCCTGCTGGTTTGGGGGGGGGGCAAGAAGATATGCCTTTCTGAGGCAAAAAGTGCCTTTCTGGAGGGGGGGGAAATCACCTTTGAGACGTTGTGTGTGTGTGTGTGTGTCCTGGCCCAAACCCAGCTCCTCTACAGCAACCAAGAGCCCTCAAGGTGATTTTATTGCCTTGCAAAGACAGGCAAGAGGCTGAGCGCTGGAGCTTCTCCTTATATACTGTATTTCTTTATTGGGTCCCCCTCCCGGGAGAGAAAAAGGGCCACTCGGGCCCTCCCAGAGCTGCCAAGGGCGCTCGAACCAGGCCTGAAGCGGCCTGCGCTGAGGGGAACCTTCGGCCGGCCGCCATAGCCGCCCCCGGACCCGGCCACTCACGAAGTTCTTCTCCAGGCACTCGACGGAGTGGATGCCATCGCCGCACCTGGAAAAAAAAACCGCGTCTGGAGGAGCAGAAGCAGCAGCAGGCCCTCCCCGGTTGGCTCCTAGTCGGCGGGCGAAGCAAAGTCGGGCTTTTTCAGCGGAGCCTCAAGTAGCCGCCGCCTCGCAGGTTTAGCTAGGCCTCAAGCAACGCGTTGCCTCAGGACCCGGCCATGCCAACCGCGCTTTTTCCCGCCCAAACAGAGCGACCCCATTGGCTCCCGGCGGGTCATGTGACCAGCGCCAAGGCTGGCGACCTCCTCCCGCCGCGGGTCCCTTCCCACCCAACACAGCTAGTTCCTAGAAGGGCCGCTGGTGACTCACTCACTTTTCCGCCATGGAGACGCTCTAGGCTACGCCACGGCGCCCCGGCCTCCCGACTCCTATTTGAACCTTCCCTCCCATTTGGCGGCCCCGCCTTTGCTCAGGGACCCGCCCTTTCTTCCCTTTCCCCGATTGGTGGGAATTCGAATCGTGACGCGGCGAGGGTGGGTGGAGCTAAGAGCGGCCAAGGAGGCACAGCTGTTTTAAAGCATCCTTAAGAAAGAGGGGAAGGGAAGCGCGGAAAGGGGATCCATTCATCGGGGCATCTGGGAATTGTGATTGGCCGCCTCTCCAGTGGATCTTCTTTCCCCCCCACGCGCGATTTCGTTTCCCCAAAGTGCCTCCTGCATTAAGGAACCTAAGAGTTGGTGGAAGGCTCCCGTGCTCCAAAGGTGCATCTTTGGGAAGTGCTCCAAAGCTCCATGCAGGTGCTGGGCTCCAAAGGGTGGCTGGAATCCCCTTTGGCACAGGATCGGCTCCCCGGATTTTCAGGGGCTCGCATTGCCTTCCCAAATTTTCTTAAGCTGGATCCCGGGTTCCAGCTGTGGCCAAAAGCTCCGTGGGGATGGCTACTCTGCGATTCTCCCACTCCCAATCTCGGGCTTCCCGGGGGAAGGCTTGGATACCCGGCTTGCCCTCCCCGCTTGCAGGGGCTGCGTGGCGCTCAAGGCTGGAGGATTGGCACGATCGACAAGAAAAGGATCCGCAGAGCCTGCCGCAAGCTGCACGCGACGGGATCCGGGTCCTGGGAAGGAAGGAAGGAAGGAAGGAGGGAGGGAGGGAAGGAAGGAAGGAGGGGGCGCCGCAGGTCGAGCTTCCCGGTGGGGACCGATGGATCGCACCCCCTTCCAAGCCGCCACCCACCCCCCTCCTCCGATGAGGCCGTCGAAAGCCGAGGATCTGCAGCGCTGGAACGAGCGACCTCCGCGGAGGCGGGACTGCTTCGGCGCGGGAGCGCCTTCCAGCGGACTCGCAGCCTCTCGGGCATCGTGGGGGCTTTGGAGCGACTTTAAGGGGGCGAGACCCATCGCTCCCCTCTCCCCTAATCCGTTTTGCTCCGTCCTTTTATTTTCGGGGGGGGGGAGATCGGTTTTAGGAAGGAGGGGAAGGAGAGGTGACTCCTCCGGCGCCCGGACCGCTCCGCCTTTCGCCAGCCCAGACGCCGTTTGAAGGCCCCGGGCACCGGACGAACGACGGCTCCTTCCTCGATGCTCCCGGCGGCTCCGGCACGCCCCTCGCCCGGCCATGGGCTCGTGCGCCACCAAAGGTGAGCTGTGTCCCGCTTGGGCTCACTTTTCCCCTTGCGATCCGGGTGGGGGGCGCAGGGCGACCCCCGAGGTCGGCCTTGGCTCCTTGCAAAAGCGGTCTCTGCTCGGGCAGAGGGAGTGGGAGTTAGGGGGGGGGGGCTTCAGGTAGGAGATGCGCCTCCGCCCCGGTCTACATCTGCATCCTTGTAGCTTTAAAAGGATGCCGGAAAAGCAGGGGGGAACATGCTGGGGAGGGGGTCGGGGGGTCTTTCTGGAAGTGGTTCCCGATTTGGGACGGAGGTGAGATTGGATCGCTTTCCCCTCCCCTCCCCTCCGCTCAGTCCATTTGCCGGCGGTGGGTGAAGGGACACGAAATGATGCAGCCATTGGAAGGCTGAAACGCTGCAGAGGTCATTCTGCATTCTGTACATGTTCAAAGGATGGGGCCGGCTTTCCTACTTAAAAGGAGCAGCTCGTTCGGTCACGCAAGCGCCTCCGTCCTCCAAAACGAGAAAGCAGCGGGTTGGTTTGCAAACCCCCACCTGTAGGGTAGGGAGGAAGATGGGGCCAGAAATCCCCCCCCACACACACACACACACACACACACGAAAGTATCTCTAGTGGCAGGCAGATTCCCCCAAAGGAAAGGGGGGGGGGCAAGTGGAAGTCTGCAGCGTGACAGGTGTGGTGGGAAAATAGTCCCAGCCAGTCCAATTTTTTTTACTACCGGTTCTGTGGGTGTGGCTTGGTGGGCGTGGTGTGGCTTGGTGGGCGTGACAGGGAAAGGATATGCAAAATCTCCATTCCCTCCCCACTCCTGAGGGAAGGATATTGCAAAATCTCCATTCCCACCCCACTCCTGGGGGAAGAATATTACAAAATCTCCATTCCCACCCCACTCCTGGGGGAAGGACATTGCAAAATCTCCATTCCCACCCCACTCCTGGGGGAAGGATACTGCAAAATCCCCATTCCCTCCCCACTCCTGGGGGAAGGATACTGCAAAATCTCCATTCCCACCCCACTCTTGGGGGAAGGACATTGCAAAATCTCCATTCCCACCCCACTCCTGGGGGAAGGATACTGCAAAATCCCCATTCCCTCTCCACTCCTGGGGGAAGGACATTGCAAAATCTCCATTCCACCCCACTCCTGGGGGAAGGATACTGCAAAATCCCCATTCCCTCTCCACTCCTGGGGGAAGGACATTGCAAAATCTCCATTCCCACCCCACTCCTGGGGGAAGGATACTGCAAAATCCCCATTCCCTCCCCACTCCTGGGGGAAGGATATTGCAAAATCTCCATTCCCACCCAGCTCCTGGGGCCAGCCAGAGGTGGTATTTGCCGGTTCTCCGAACTGCTCAAAATTTCCGCTACCAGTTCGCCAGAACCTGCTGGATTTCACCCCTGGTCCCAGCACAAGGAGAAAGAAAGCAGCCAAGAGTCAGCCTTGTTTCTACCACCAGCTACTCACAGAAACTCCATTTTTCTAAGTCAGGGGTCCCCAACCCCAGGTCCGTGGACCGACAACAGTCCTTGGCATGCCGGAAACCGGGTCCGTGCAAACAAGCAAAGCCCCATCCATGGGATGCAGGTAGCACACGAAACCACGTTTCCCCCCTCCGGTCCACGGAAAAATACCTCTCCACAGAACCGGTCCCTGGTGCCCAAAAGGTTGAGGGGGCCGCTGCACTAAGTGACCGAATATAGAACTTGAGGGAAGGGGGCATAAGATTGTAGTATTAAGTGCAGCATATCAGGTGGGTTTCTTTTGGCAAGCAACATGACAAAACGGCCACCCCAAACAATCAGGAAGGAGAGCTGAAGACTAGAACCTTGAAGCAACTTTCATTGCCCAGAGGTCAGTCCTGAAAATGGGATTTTTGTGCAGGAAATCCGTCTTTCCCATCCCTGGGGTGCTAGTTCCCTGTGCCGTGAGGCGAGAACGATTATGGGATGGAGAGTTTCTCCATCTCAGCTAGAAGAAACCCACGATCCCTTTCGAAGACTCCCAGATATTGTCTGTGGAGATTCTCGGTCATTCAGGCCACGGTTGCCCAAAGGTGCCCTTTTCCAAGTCCAGTTGCCTTTTGAAAAAGCAACCCCAGGTATCGTGGGTCCTAAAAGAAGCTCCCCACCCTACTGGCTGCCTTCTGCAGGAAGGATCAAAGCAAAGGAAGCCGTAGGAATTGTGACAGGCCAGCAAGGGCATCTCACCCCCTTCTCTTCCCTTCTGCATGTGAAGTGACAAGAAATCCGGGCTTGCTGGCTACAGGGAGGCCCTCCCGGTTTCTGAGAGCCGCTTGAGCCTGCAACCTTTGGGTGCGCAGAGCCCACACAGAGCAGCCAAAGGCCCCAGGCCGATCTAAATGCCAATGGAGAGGACCAGCTCCTCCCTGGATGGATTCCCCAGTGCGCATTGGCCAGCTACTGAAAGGGTGGCCACTATGAGGGCCAAACTCATAGTCGAGCAAGAGACACAAACCCCCCCCCATTTCCTGCTTTTATCATCTCTGCTAAAGAACTAATTCCCACAACAGTCAAACTATTTATTAAGACTGTATTGCTATTTTTTTTACTATTAGTTTTTTCCCCGAATGCCATCACTCTGTTTAACAACTCCCACAACACTGTCAAATAATTTTGTAAAGACTGTATTACTATTATTCTTCTCTTCCTTACTAGTATCTATCTCTTCCCACTTATGACTATAACCATGTCGCTTGTATCTTTCAATTTATATTGTTTTTGTTTCCTAGTACTATTTGATAGCTTATTAGTAACCTTGACTATCACTAAGTGCTGTATCTTTTTATTCTTGATGAATGTATTTTATTCTCATGTACACTGAGAGCATATACACCAAAGACAAATTCCTTGTGTGTCTAATCACACTTGGCCAATAAAGAATCCTATTCTATAGTATACCATACTATTCTGTTCTGTTCTGTTCTCTGTTCTGTTCTGTTCTATTTTATTCTCACTTTATTCTATTCTAATTCTATTCTATTCTATTCTATTCTAATTCTGTTCTATTCTTATTCTATCCTATCCTATCCTATTTGTACCCTATGACTATCATTAAATGTTGTACCTTATGATTCTTGACGAATGTTATCTTGTCTTTTTATGTACACTGAGAGCATATGCACCAAAGACGAATTCCTTGTGTGTCCATTCACACTTGGCCAATAAAGATTTCTATTCTATTTGGGAGGGGGGGGAATGGCTTGAAGGATGCCTTAGCTACATGGCCCTCTCCCCATCCCAGAGCCTGGCCTGTCTGTGCTGCTGCCGAATCTCTTGCTTTCTTTCTGCAGAATTCCTCACGAGGGCCCACAAGGAGGGAGGCACTGTCCCTCTGCCAGACCAGGAAGGCAACAATCCACCTGTCGCCCCCCCAAAAGAAAGCAGCTGTGAGGTAAAGGCTGGCACCCCTCCCCTTAAGAAGAAAACTCTTCCATCCCATTTCTATTCCCTCTTCCCCCGAAAGCAAGCACTGACAGTTTTTGATAATGAAAACCACACCATTGCAATCATCAGGGCATTGACAAATAATACATTGAAGTGACATACAATCCAGTGGGTAGCTAAACATGCAGACAAAAAGCCAAAACGGTAACGAGAATGTGACAAATCTTACAGGGCGAAGCATAATTTAAAGGCCTGTTACTGAAAACCACAGCCAGGATGGTCTCGGGTACACCTCCTAGAGGAAAGAAAAGGACATTTCAAATTGGGGACAGCAACCGCCCAGAAGCCCCTTCCTGCACCCTATCCGAGGAGACGTCTTCAGAAATGATTAAATTCCACCCCACTCCCCGGCTCTGGCTGGCAGGGAGTCCTCAGAGGCTGGGGCTTCTTTTAGATCAGGGGTCTCCAACCTTGGCAACTTTAAGACCTGTGGGACTTCAACTCCCAGAATTCCTCAGCCAGCTTTGGGAGTTGAGTCCTGGGAGTTCACAAGCTTTTAAAAGTTGCCAAGGCTGGAGACCCCCCGCTTTAGACCCACAACCAGCCAGGCTGGAACAGAGCAGGCCATCCTAAGTCACCTCCCTCTTCTTTTCCTGCAGAAGTCCTCGCGGGGCTCCGGCGGGGCTACCTTGGCGGCCTACGACGTGACAGCCCTTGCTACCTCTTCCCTGCTGGGTAGGTATGCCCTCCGGATCAATGGCTTCCCAGCAACTTCTCGGCCGACAGAAACACAAAAGAGGCACTTCTCCATCAGAGCAGCCTCACGCCAAAGGCCAGGAGAGCTGCAATGAATGTCCACGTCACGAGCCTGATGTCGGGGGGGGGGTCCCTGCTGTGGTGGGGTGGGGGTAGCGGCCATAGGGCCCGAAACACGGACGATCCAAAGGGAACAGCTTCCAAGGCATCGGAGCAGCTGGATAAGACAGCAGCTCTGTATCTCTGGGATGCTTTAATCTGGATTCCTGAGGAAAGGTTGGACTACATGGTCTCAAGATCCCCCGCCAACGTGATGATCCTCCTCATTCGCTGGGTGACTCTGGCAATGGTGTGGGTGTGGTCAGCTCGATAAGCATCCCACCAGAAAGGAGCCTCCTATGGGAGAGGGGCCCGGAGACAGGTAAGGGGGGGCCACCTTTTTCAGGGATCGGGCAAGTCCATCTTCACCGGCTGCAAAGGGGGTCTTCGCCGCTCCGCTGCAGCTGAAGCATTTGGACAGCAGGGAGATGAATGGGTCTTGCGCTGTTGGTTTCCATGGAAACCCTCTAGTTTTTTTCCTTTTTTTTTTTTTCCCCCACCGAGCCGGGAAAGGAAGGCAGCAGAGCTGGCACGGTGGCATTCGTCCGTTCCCCCCCCATGGCTCCCCCAGGTTCCCCCATCTGCTCGCGCCTGGGCTCAGTCCTGCTTCTCCTCTGTCCCCCAGGCCTCATCCAGAGCTTGAAGGACCACATCACCAAGCCCACCGCCATGGCCCAAGGACGCGTGGCCCACCTCATCGAGTGGAAGGGCTGGAGTGCTCCCCCCGTGGGCTGGGAGCAGCCCCCTACGGAAGAGGTGCTCTACGAGGAGCTGACCGACGAGCTGAAGGAGGCTCGGTTTGCGGCAGGTGAGGGAAGGTGGGGGAGAGGGATGGAGGGGGAGGGGGGGGGCTGGTGCAACCAGAGGGAAACAGGAGGGGGCATCTGGCCAGCATTCTCTGTTTGCAGCTACTGGGCATCCCTTGCTTCCCGCGATGGGAAGGCTGGTTTATCAACTCTTCGAAGCTTGCATTTGGGGGGAAGGTGTCTCAGTCTTGTCCCAGGCCGTCTGTGCCTCACCTCCCAGCTCTCCGGCCCCTCTCCAGGTGTGGCTGAGCAGTTTGCCATCGCGGAAGCCACTTTGAGTGGTTGGTCTTCCCTGAACGAAGAGGAGCTGAGCAACAGGCGAGGCTCGCAGGACGTGATCCAGCTGCCAGGTATGATCCCTGGCCTTTGGCCCAGGATGGGTCCATCCATCCCTTTTGCTTCTCTCTCAGTCCCCCCGACTCTCCTCCTCTTTCTCCTCTTCTTCCTTCTTCTCTTTCCGACCAGATCTGGAAGGCATCTATCTGCAGGACGGCCTTCTCCTTTGCCCGCCGGCTCCGGCAGGCGGCCTCCAGACCTTCGCGCTCTCCAACCAGGGATCCCCCATCCCAAGCAGACCCTTGAAAGCGAACGAGTGGAGCAGGGCCAAAGGCGGCTTGGGAATGGCCGAAGGGAACCCGCCCAACGCCCGTAGATGGCAGCAGAGTGCCACATCCCTGCGCTACGTGGACAGCAGCTCTCCCTCCGAGGATGAGGTCTTCTACGACTAGGGTGGCGAGGCTGGCAGCAACGGCGGTGGCATTAGTAGCTCCAGGAGGGACGGGATTGCGTGGGCCGATGGGGGTGTGTGTGTCTTGCTCCAGAGACTGAGAGGCCTCTTCGTAAGCCCAGCCCACCCTTTGCCTGGCGGCCTGAAGAGCTGGGTTCAAGAAATGTATTACGGTCCCAGAGCCGTTTTGGTTGCAGGAGGATATGCTTTTTCGACGCAGCCCGTCAGAGCCTGATCCATGATTAGCACTTTCGGCATCAAGACGGACCCTGCGCTGCCGGCCAGGCGGTGGGGGAGGCCCGGTGGAGGATGGACTTGGAGCAGGGGTCGGTATCCGGGTGGAAATTCGGGACGAGGCTCCCTTCAGGGTTTCCTGCCTGAAGCCTCCTGTCCCTTCGAGTGCTTGCTAATGTTCACAGAGCAATGTCAAATCCTTCCATACGGACTAAAGGATGGCTGGCCGAGGAAGGTTGTACTGAAGGTGTAAATAAAAACAGGTGCCGCAGAAAAACGCCATCCACCTTTTTGCCTGAAAGGAGATCCCCTCCATGTCTGAGCTGGGAGAAAGAGGCTGGCCTCGGAGGTACTTGGGGGCCCTCCCCAGCTGGGGAAGGAAGGAAGGAAGGAGCAAGGCAGGCTTGCTCTGATTGGAGGCGAGGTCTGATCCAGCCTGACTGAAGGACATCTCTGTGTGTGTGTGTGTGTGTGTGTGTGTGTGTGTGTGTGTGTGAGAGAGAGAGAGAGAGAGAGAGAGAGTGAGAGAGAGAGAGTGAGAGTGAGAGAGAGAGAGGAGGTGAAGCCAGCAGGTTCCCGGGACTCTTTTTCTTTAACTGGGGAAAGGACACTGCCAGGTGAAGCCCCTTCAAAACCCCACTCATCTCACGCTAGAGCTTCTACTCAAGAGTTGCCAAACTAGGGGAAATCTTGAGACGTCTATACATTGCAACCATTCTGTTGTGTCTTTTATTTCTTAAAATGCCCAAATATCTAAAAAGGGCCTACATCTTCCACTTGCCACTCATTTTTTTTTAAAAAAAACTTTGCAGTGAATTTACCATCCTCTCCATGGTTCAACTGTAGGCAAGACTAAATTTCGCTAGCAAACAAATACCAGGTCACAAACACCCCACCCCCACCCCCAGGAACTAAACCTACGGCTTCACGTCTCCACGGGCTTCCGCTATCGCCCGGCCTTGGGATTGGCCAGCTCTTCAATGGCTTTCCTGAGCTGAAAAAAAAAAAAAGAAGAAGAAAAAGTAAAGCCGACATCGGGGCACAGAGAGCGAGTCGATGTTGCAAACGTCCGGAAGTGCCTTATCTCCATTGGGGAGGGTCTCACCTTTCCCTCGCCAGTTCAAGAGGGAGGCTGCAGGCCCCCCCCCCCTTCAGGCCAACGATGTCCTGCGTTTTGGCGTAGCAGTAGAAGCCGAGCTTCCAGAGCGGCCGCCTGTCCTCATCGCCCCAATCAGAAGGAGGGCAGATGGGAAGGAGGAACTGCACCCCGCTGTGCCCTCCTGGGGCAGCCCAGCTACTCACCTCCTTCCTGGTCACGATCCCCACCACTTTCCCCAGCTGGGTGACAAAAGCCCGCTGCAGGTTCAGCATCTCAAAGAGGTTGTGGGCCTGCAGGAGAGAAAAAAAAAAAAGACACTCAATGCTCCTTCCCTCCTCTGGAACAACAGTCACCAACCGGTGGTCCGTGGACCATCGGTGGTCCGTAAAAAAATTTTGGTGGTCCACAGAAAAATCTTTACATTTTTGCATTTTTTAAAAAATATTGCATTAAATCAGGGATCCTCAAACTACGGCCCCTGGGCCGGATACGGCCCGCCAAAGCAATTAATCCCACTCGCTGACGGGATGGGGTCCTTCAGGCACTTAGCTTGGCTGCCTGTTAAGTAGCTCCAGACCCTCCCTCCCTCCCTCCCTGCGAGTCCAGATGCTTCAGTGAGCGGTGCATAAAACTTCAGCTGGGCTCCTCGAGAGACAGATTCCTAGCTGCAATGGACAGCAAAGCTAGGGTTGACCCCGGGCACTTCTCTCTGCTAACAGGCGGCCAAACTAAGTGCCTGAAGGACCCCATCCGGTCGCTAATTCGTATTAGCGGTCCGTGGGATTTAAAATTATGAATTTAGTGGTCCCTGAGGTCCAAAAGGTTGGTGACCTCTGCTCTGGAAAGCCCCTTCTCAGAAACCTCTTCCCCCAATGGAACCCCCCCTTGAAAACCCTGCCTGGCCCTGTTCCAGTGGTGGGTTTCATTTTTTTTTTTACTACCAGTTCTGTGGGCGTGGCTTGGTGAGTGTGACATGGCTTGTTGGGCGTGGCAGGGGAAGGAAACTGTAAAATCTCCATTCCCACCCCATTCCAGGAAAGGATACTGCAAAATCTCCATTCCCAGCCCACTCCAGGGGAAGGACACTGTAAAATCTCCATTCCCACCCCACTCCAGGGGAAGGATACTGCAAAATCTCCATTCCCACCCCACTCCAGGGGAAGGACACTGTAAAATCTCCATTCCCACCCCACTCTAGGGGAAGGACACTGTAAAATCTCCATTCCCACCCCACTCCAAGGGAAGGATACTGCAAAATCCCCAGTTCCTCCCAATCAGCTGGGACTCGGGAGGCAAAGAATAGATGGGGGCGGGGCCAGTCAGAGTGGTATTTCTCTGAACTACTCAAAATTTCCGCTACCGGTTCTCCAGAACTGGTCAGAACCTGCTGAAACCCACCTCTGCCCTGTTCCCCAGTCAATCCCTCCTCCCACCGTTCAACAAAGTGGCAGCTTCCCTGCCTGCTGATTTTGCTGCCCAGACGCCTCAGCAGAGGAATGAGTCTGGGTGCCCCGGACAGAGGCAACCTGTAGGGAACTCGGCCACCCGAGGTACCTGGTGCAGGGATGTCCATGGGGAGAGCTGCAGACTCACAGGACTGATGGTGCAGCCTTCTTTCAAAGTCTGGCCCGAGAGGAGCTGAAAGAGAAGCGCAGCCATGGATGTGCCGTGCAGCGGGATGGGAAGGAGTCCTGCCCCCCCCCCCAAATCCTGGAAAGCACGTGGTCAGCTCTTGTCGGAATTACCCTGTCGGGAATCAGACCTACCTCTTTCCCCGGCTCTTCCTGTGGCAGACTGGAGTCTTCATGGCTCTGGAGAAACTGAATGAGACTGGACCGCTGGATCGCTCCCAGCAGCATCTGAGACTCTTGAGGGAGAAAGAAGCAGAGGGAAGTGTCCAGTTTTGGTCACCACACTATAAAGAAGAGGTTGAGACTCTAGAAAGAGTGCAGAGAAGAGCAACCAGGATGATTAGAGGACTGGAGGCTAAATCATACAATGAACGGTTGCAGGAACTGGGCATGGCTGGTCTAGTGAAGAGAAGGACCAGGGGAGACACGATAGCAGTCTTCCAATATTGGAGGGGCTGCCCCAGAGAGGAGGGAATCAAGCTATTTTCCAAGGCACCTGAAGGCCAGACAAGGAATAATGGATGGTAACTGATGGTGAGATTCAACCTAGAAATAAGAAGAAATTTTCTGACAGTGAGACCAATCAACCCATGGAACAGACGTTGCCTTCGGAAGTTGTGGGAGCTTCATCCCTGGAAGCTTTCAAGAAGAGACTGGATTGCCACCTGTCAGGAATGGTGTAGGGTCTCCTGCTTGAGTTGTGGGTGGGGACTAGATGACCTCCAAGGTCCCTTCCAACTCTGTTATTCTAAGACTGTAGTTTCTAGGAACGTGTTTGTGCGTACGGGCATATTTATGTTACAAATGCTTCAATGCCGCTCCAGCCATAAGGTGGGACCCTCCCACCAGACGGATCCAGCACGAGACGCACACAGAGAGACTCGCTGCTTTCGGAACACCGCCTTACCAGCATTGTCTACCACGGGATACTCCTGGGCATCCGTCGTGGTGACCACCTGGAGGATGTCGTGAAAGGTGGCTTCCTGGGACAGGATGACGAAATCGGTGTTCATGAACTCCTGGGTGGTGACCATGTAGGACCTGCAAGGGAAGCAGCGCTCACCAGACCAATGGCTTTATTGGGACAGGGCAGCGCTCTGGGGGAGTGGAGCTGCTGGCGCCTGCCAAGCAAGGCCAGGCCAGAGGTGCTCTGGGCACACGCAGAGTGCCCGTTCTTTGGGAAGGCCGGCATCCCGATCCCTGGGTCCCCAGCAAGCCAAGAGGGCAGGGCAGCTCACTCGATATGCCTGCTCCGGATGCGGGGAAGATACGGTAGCTTCTTGACAATGATGGTGCCATCGTAGAAGGAAGGCTGGAACTTCTGGGCAATGGCGTTGGCCACCAGGACGGCCAGCAGGACAGGGAGGATGTGGGCGATTTGCCCGGTCATCTCAAAGGCCAGCAAGGCGGTGGAGAGGGTGTGGGTGACCGAGCCAGAGAAGGCAGCGGCCCCTGGAAGGGGGGGGGGGAGAGAGCAGAGGGTGGCCGATCTCAGGGAGAGCAAAGGTGGGGGGGGTTTGTTTCCACACTGCCTGTGCCTCCCTGAGTGCCAAGGAAGCCTCCCGACATACCTGCCAGCGCATATGCCCCAGGGATAATGGGGCTGGGAGGGCCCTCACCGGTGATGCCCATGGGGAAGAGGAAGGCTGCGGCTTCACCCACCAAGCGCCCGATGGCAGCTCCTGGGGAGGGACAGAGAAAGATCATCTTTCCCTCCTCAGCCTGATAGACCAACCTCTCCGGAAGCTGAAAGCAGAAAACTCGAGAAAGTGGAAGCGCTCACCGCAGGGGTGAAATGCTCCCGGTTCGGACCGGATCGCCCGAACCAGTAACGATGGAAGCGGGTGGTTCGGAGAACCGGTAGCAAAAATCCCTGCCCCCCCCCCCCCCCCATTGCCCAGCTCGATCATCAGAAGCTTTTTTTATTATTTTTAAAAGCATTTTTTTTCTACCACCTCTGTCTGAAAAAATGCTTTTAAAAGTAAAAAAGAAGCCTCTGAGGATCGCGCGGCTCAGCTGGGATCGTCAGAGGCTTTTAAAAGCATTTTTTTTTACAACCTCTTCAGCCAGAGGTTGTAGAAAAAATGGTTTGAAAAGTAAAAAAAATAAAAAGTTGGCCACACCCACTCAGTCATATTACCCCACCACCACCAAGCCACGCCAAGAGAACCAATAGTAACAAATTTTACATTTCACCGCTGGCTCACCGTAAACGAAGACGGGCATGAAGTACCCAGCGGGCATAGGCATGGTGGTGGCCAAGACCAGCATCCAGAACTGCAAGGGCAGAAAGAGATCAACGCTGGCAGCCCAGTCGTCTTCTTTTTTTTTTTTTTCAAAGCAGAAGGCTGACGGAGAGTGTAAGCGAGAGCCCCTGGAAGGAGCTCTGCAAGGCCAAGAAGAGGCCAGAGGAGACCCGGCCCAGAGAGGGAGTTCTGCTGCGTGCCAGGCAGAGGGAGTTCCCCGACACGCACCTTCATCACCAGGAAGACAGACAGGGTGCCGAAGAAGGTGATGTCGGGGTGCCACCACTCCTCCCACAGGTTGAGGGGGTCCACCTGGGGAGGCCTGTCAAGCGAAACGTTCTGGGAAAGGACACTCCAGGTGCGGTTATCAAGCAAGGAGGTGAGCAGCTCCTTCATGCTCAGCTGCAAAAAAAGAAAGGGAAACGGTCTTCGCCTTCTGCCCCATGGCAGAGAGGGGCTGGCAGCCTCTCCCCCCCCGCCCCCGAAGCTTGCTTCAGCTCCTCTGGCTTGTCACGGCAAAGAGCCAGCAGCACCCCCCATGCGTTCTCCGCAGGCTCTAGCCCTTGGCAGCAATGGCTGATAGGTTACCCTGGAGGCCATGAATCGTCCCAGGCTATGAGGGAAGGTGATGGAGGACAGCAGGAAGGCCACCAGCACCGAGTAGAGGGGCTTCCTGCAAAAGAAGGCCCAAAGGTCAGGGAGAGGGGAAGGGGAGAGGAGATTGGGAAACCAACGTAACTCAAAAAGCCACCGGTTATGAAGGGGGCTGGGCTGGGAGCTGCCATTGGCAGCTGTACTTCTGGGGGGTAAACTTTGTGATGGAGAAGCAGAGAAAGCTTTAGAGATGAGCTTGCTGGCCAACATCTCCCCAGTGAGCCCCCTTTTGGGGGAGTCCACTTCCTGCACAGGAAGCCTCCTCCGCCTCTCCGATCCTGGAACCAGAGGAGCCATCCCAGGGACTCTGGAAAGCTGCCCTCTGGTGGCTACTTACTCAGTGGCCAGCAGCCTGGCCGTGAAGGGGTTCCTCCGGACGTAGCCCAGGAACCAGCGCTGGCAGAAGAGGTACGCACAGCTCAGCACGCCGCAGATCACGCTGAAAGGGGGAGAGGAGGCCGCCCAATTAGGATGTGTTCTTGCTGTTGCACCCCTCCTCCCATAAGGAGACCCACTCCTCACCCGAGGAATGTGAAGAAAATGGTCTCCGGCAGGTCAAAGGGGAAATCAATTTTAAAGCTGGTCTTGAAGAGAGCTATGATGGTTTCTGGAAAGCAGGGGTGCAAAAGCTGAGGGGCTCTTGACTCTGATCTCCTGGAGCCCCTTCCCAGCTCCCGCCCCACCTCCCTGCCTGGCCCTCAGCCAAACAGCCCACGGGAAAGGCTCAACTCCAGCCTGTCCTAAGGAGCTTCCAAGCACAATCCACAATCCTCCCCGGTTGGTCACCCCACCTGGAGCCATAGCATCAGTCGGCTGAGCCCCTCTGATGCACTGCTTCTGTCGAGCACTCATTCTCCCCCGCCCCACATCCCCAGACAGAGTGGCCGAGGGGATCCCTCTTTTGGGATTCCGCTTGCGCCCCACCTTGTTCACTATTGAAAACAGCCAACAAGCGGAACATAAAGGCGCCGCAAGTTGCCGAGAAGAAGCCCCTCCAGTAATCCCGGACAGCAAAGTGGGAGGACACGACCTCGATGCTGAAGAGGACTCCTGGAAGAGTGGCAGAGGGCAATCCAGAGAGTCAGCCCCACATCCATCCGTCTGGCCACTCCCTGGCCCTCCACCTGCTTTGGCCTCCCTTTGCAAAGGGGCTACGTGTCTTACCACTGATAGGCGCCCCAAAGACGGTTGCCACGCCCACGGCCGCTCCTGCCACCAGCATCTCGTTCTGCTTGATTTTATTCTAGGCAAAGGAAAGGGGCGCCCTCTGAGGCTGCTGCTGAGTCGCCCTCCCCAGGAACCCCAAATGCTGGGCCGCCTTCGGGGCCCTCCAGACAGCCACACAGTTCTCAGCTGCCCCTGGACCAATCCCTGGGGTGCAGCCTCGCCTCCTCAGCCGTACCTCGTACTCCCCAGAAACGCTGGTCCGGATCTTGCCCAGGTAGGCGGCGATCATGCTGGAGAGGTGAACAAAGGGTCCCTGGCAGAGGCCGGGCGGAAGGAAGATGAAGATGAGGACCTGAAAGGCTCAGAGGGAGAGAGACCCCCCCCTCCATCCAACGGTAGTCTCTCCCAGCAGCCCCCCTCCAGACAAGAGGCTCGTCTCCTGACCTCAGCCGGACCTTGAAGGTCTCTAGGAAGGAGATTTTACCACCACCCACTCTAAACATTCACCCCGATTGCTGGGCTGACCCTGGCGGGATCTTCAACCCCTCGGCTTCCCTGTTTCTGCCCCTTCCTGGCCTGAAGGGACCCTGGCCCTCTTTCCCTCTTGAGCTGGGGCACCTTCAGCACAAGCTCTTTTTAAGGAGGAGGAGGAGGCCGTCTGAGGTGGGCAAGACCAAATAGATATGGGGCAGAAGCAACATCCGAAAACTTCCCCTCAGGGGTGGGCTGCTGGGGGTTCGCACGGGTTCGGGAGAACCTCTAGCTAAAATTCTGTGCAGTTCGGAGGGCCCCCAAATCCCACTCCTGGCTGGACCTGCCCACCCTGCCCCTCCCCTCCAAGGAGTCCCCACACGGGCCATTTTGGATGCAGGGCACGCGTGGAGACTTGGGAGGGCGAAAAACAGGCCTACCGGAAGTTTGGGAAGGCCCTCCATAGGGCCTCTGGAGCCTGGGGAAGCCGTTTTTGCCCTCCCGGAGGCTTGAGCAAAGTCTCTGATGCCCGGGGAGGGCAAAAACGTCCCCCCCGCCACCACCATGGTGCAAGAGGCCAACTAGGCCACGCCCACCCAGCAACCGGGCAGAGAAGCCCTTGCTAAAATTTTTGAAGCCCACCCGTTTCCCCTCCAGACACCCAATTCCTTCCTCCTGTCTCTAGAACCGCCCCTCGGGACACTTTTCCCTTTCAAACCATCACGGCTTCCTTTCGGTGTCCAAAGGCTGAACGCCCCCTCCACTCCCCTCAGGCCACAAAGGCGCTGCTTGGAGGCGAGAGAGAGAGAGAGAGAGAGACACCCGCCCCCTCCATCCACCCTGGACACGTACCACTTTTCCGAGGAAGATGGTGCTCCCGCAGGCGAGTGTGCAGGTCAGCCCCACGACTTTGGCCCCAAAGTTCTCGATGGCCAAGTACTCCTCCAGGATGACGCCGGTCAGGATGGTCTTGAGTTCGGGGATGCCGGAGCCTGGACAGAGAGGGCAGAACGATATCTCCACCATTTCTGCCCGCCTGGCAGGAGTCCCTAGTGCCCGCCCGGAGGCATCACAAACCCTAACTAACGAGCCAGGCTAAACACGATGTGTGAATGAGGCCCTGGGGTTGCCCTTTCTTCAGGCATCTTCCCTTTCAGGGAGAAGAACAAGGCAGCTGATGGAAGAAGGAAACCTTTACCCTTCTCAACGGACTCAGGCTGCCCATCTTTCTCCCCGCTCCTCTCACCCAGACTTGGGAGAAGAGAAGTGTAGGAAGTTAGCACCCACCCCTTTCCTGGAAGAGTAAAATATTTTAGGAAATATGAAAAAGGCAGAATACTATATTTCCCTGGATGAGAAATGGAGAAGCATATTTTACAGACAAAGCAGCTCCCACCTTCCTGCCCCCCACCCTTTGTCAATGGGCCATTAAGGCCTGGGCCAGTCTATTCTACATAACAAAGATCTGCCTCCTTCAGGCAGAGCCATAGTAGGAATTGCCAAAGATCCAACAAAGATAGGATTAGCCCTCTACACAATATCAGCAGAAACGCACCACATGTGACCTGGGAAGCACATGTGACCATCAGCCAGCAAGGCTAGCTAAGACCCCCACCTCCTGGGAGTCTGACAACCAATCAGGATACTCTTTCGGGGCTCCAGGAAATGCAGAGCCAGAGAGAGCATAAAAACCCGAGGATTTACTGTATCTGCCCCTTTTCTGTTCAGGAACTCAAGCCATGTGATCCTGTCCACCATTAAACCATCTTTCCAAGCAGTCTCCATGTTTCCAGTGTCTGTTTCCCCACTTGGAGCAGAACCCAGAAGGATGTTTCTTCCAACAGAAGAAAGCTGCTTCCCAGTCCAAGGGCTGGAACAGGGGCATAATGACCACTGGCGGCTGACCCCAGCCTCCATCCCGCCTCACCTCCAGCGTGCTGGGTAATGCTTTGGGCAAAGCCCGTGGAAAAAGCCGAGAGTGCGACCGGGTACATGGTCCAGGAGAGGAACTTCAGCACCGGGTAGTCTCCAACCTCTTGGTAAAGCCACAGGTGCGCTGGAGAATCCAAAGGGAAGTTGGCTGGGAACTGAACTGACCCAGGACTGCCAGAGTCGTCTGCTGCCATGGCTGCCCTGAAGGCATGGAGAACCTAACCCCCCCCCCACTTGAAACTGGCATCCCTTATGACACGGGGTCTCGACAAGCAGCCCAAAAGACGCTCTTTCCTTCTGCTTGTCCCTCAAAGTCCAGCTTGGGGAGGGCGGTGGGATTTGGTGTGGCAGAAGCTCACCGCTGGCAACCCTGGAGACGGTGAAGTCCATGGCGAAGCTGACCAGCGCCATGATGACGCCCAGGGCAAAGAGGTAATACCAATCGTCCCCAACTCGGAAGAGCTGCCGCTTGAGGCACTCCAGGCAACCTGCAGAGGGCAGTAGACAGAGGCTGGGAATTATGGACAAAAGAGAGGCCCTGCCATTGTTAATGTCAGCCTCCTTCAAGGATGGATGAAGAGGCCACATGGGTCACCATCTCTGGGAAACACCAGCATCTGCAACGCCTCCAACCCAGGGGTGAAATGCTCCCAGTTCGGACCGGATCGCCCGATCCGGTAGCGATGGCGGCGGGTGGTTCGGAGAACCGGTAGCAAAAATCCCTGTGCCCCCCCCTCCCATGCTCAGCTGAGCCGTGCGATCATCAGAGGCTTTTTTTTTTTTACTTTTAAAAGCATTTTTTCTACAACCTCTTTGGCCGAAGAGGTTGTAGGAAAAAAAAATGCCAGCTGAGTTGCCTGATCGTCAGAGGCTTCTAAAAGCATTTTTTTCTGCAACCTCTTCGGCCGAAGAGTTTGTAGAAAAATGCTTTTAAAAGTAAAAAAAAAAAAAAAGACACCCACCCAGTCACATTACCCTCCCCCCACCAAGCCACGCCCACAGAACCAGTAGTAACTAATTTTAGATTTCTCCCCTGCTCCAACCTCAGTGCCACCCATGTGGAAGCCACTCTTGTGGCTGGGTGGGATCTCCCAGGCTCCTACCGTGCACCTTGCGCCGGGCTTTTGGCCAGGGTCTCCAGTTGTCTTCCCAGGGCAGGAACACATTAGTCTCCTCCTCCACCTCCTTGTTCTTGGCTCTCTCTTTCTCCCCGCCGGCTCTCTCTGTCCTCTCAGCAGCCATGCCCCGAGGCTGGGAGTGGAAACGCCGGACGCAGCCCAAGAGGAGGAAGAGGATCCAAGCCGTCTGTTTGCAAGCACCAAGACGGACGGGGTCCCCAGAGGCCTCCTGCTGCGGCTTGTAGGGATCTTGGCCACAGGACGGAAGTGAGGAGACACCTTTCCCTGAAATGCAAAACTTCTGAAAAGGTGAAATGAAGAGGAACGCGCACCCAGATCCCCCAGCCCCCAAGACGGTCACTCTGTAAAAGGAAGATGCTCCTCTGACAGCAGCCGCAAAAGGGCCAAACCTCCGACAGGATCCACCTGCCTGGTTGCAGGGCAAGGGCACTTGGCTCTCCGCTCTAGGAAGGTGGCATCTCTTATCACCTGAGGGAGCCTCAGATGCTAAAGGAAATCCAGACAACAGGCAGCCAACAATGCACACTCTCCCCCTGCCCCCCCCTCAAACACAACCAGGGTCCCCTCAATGGCCCCGACTGGAACCTGTGCAAAGGAGACTCACTCCACCTCAGCCGGCTCAGGGTGCCTGCGTATGTGTCTGTCAAAGGCTCCTGATCCTGGGTCAGGCTGACTTCTCTGAAGCCAGTTTCCTCTGCCTCTGCCCTGACCAGATCCGGTGCATACACACACACCTGTCTCCCGGGCCCTCCCTTTTCTCTCCCACACCTCCCTCTCTTCCTCCCTCCCTGACCTCTAACTATCCAGGACTCTCTCTGGGACCCACAGGAAAGGCCCTCCAGCAAGCCTATTCCAGCTCAAGCCAGCCTTCTCGCCAAGCAGCATGAGGAAGGCGGGGTGGGTGGGCAGGCAGGCAGCTGGCAAACAGCCCCATTTGGCTGGCCGGCCTACACCTTGCCACCCACGCCCGAGGGTCCTTTGTTTCGGTCACTCAGCGTCCCAGTTTATGCTCACCTCCCAAGGTCTAGGCCAGCTGTAGGGGGTGCAGAACCAAGATCAGGAGGGCCAATTGCTGGAAGGGGCTGCAACCACTTCCTCCCAAAACATCCTGGCCAGGAACAACGGCGGCCTCTCATGATCCTTGCCATCCCAACAGGCTAGCCACAAAAATGGGCAGGCAGCTACTCACACGGTCTCTGGGGAGGGGACAGACAACGGGGGGGGGGGGGGTGTTGGAGGGTGCTGCTTGCTGCAGGTCAAGAGAACTCTTAGGAGAGGCCGAGAGCAGAGGCTGCAGGGCAGGAGAGCCCGTGTGCTCCAAGGTGAGCTCAGAGGGCCATTCCGGCAGCAAGGGAAACAAAAGGCATGTTTGAAGTTTGAAGTTTATTAGATTTCTATACCACCCTTCTCCCGAAGGACTCAGGGCGGTGTGCAGCCATATTAAAACACATAGATTTATAAAATTTAAAACCAATTAAAATCGAATATATAAAGTGTAACACCCACCCACTCCCTTCCTGAAATCAAAAAGCATCAGCAGGAACTTCCCAAACAGTCCCCGCCAAGTTCTAAATTGGCCATGATTTCTGAACTCTTGAGTGGGTTCCCGGATGATTTACGGTCCGTGAATCTCTGCCTGGGGAGTCCCCGGGCCCCTCTCTCCTCCTGCCAGCACCCCAGAAGTGGAGCCAAGGGCCAGAAGAGCCGCAATGCGATGGGCAATAGATGGAAGCTGAGTTAGGGAGGACGCCCTGCCTTCTGGGGCTTGTTCTGAGGGAAGGAAAAAAGGGCACGGGAGGCCGCAGGCCCAATGACTCAGACTGCCCCGAGAGGAGGGTGACTAAGCAGCTGCGTTTAGCTACAAGCTGCCCCCAGACAGTTTCGGCAGACAGGCGGTGAGATGCTTGCCAGCAGGGCCTGTTCCCATCTCCATCTTCTACATGGAGGCCCATGCCAGGCTCTCTGAGCTGCCAGGGAAATAAACCTGGAAAAATGGGAACCCCTCTTCAGTATTGGGGGGGGGGGTACAGGGAGCAGGGGTCCTGGGCTCTGCCCTCCTCTTTCGGGATGCTTGCTTTCCATGCCAGGCTCTCCCCTTCCTTGCGGAAGGCCAATCCTGCTGCCAATCAGGGGGATGATCCAGTCATGGGTGGAATGCTGAGGGCCAGCCCTTCCCTCCCGCCTCTCTCTGTTTGTGTAGAGCCCGTGCCTATGGGACGCTTTCCAGAGGCATTGGCCGTGTCCTGCAGAACACTCTAAATTTAGACTCTTTGACAAGACCCCTGGAAGGCAGCCGAGGCTTTTAAAGGCTCCGCAGCTGCCCCGGGTGGCTCTGTCGGGTGAGACTTCCGGAGGGGGCAGCTCCTCCAGCATCGATCCGCTTGGATAGCCACCCTCTCAGGGCTCACTGCTTCGGCACCCTCGACCATCTTCTTGGCAGAACACGACCAGGCAGGCGGCTGTCCCATGGAGAAGGCCCACGGAATATTCGACAAAACGTTGGGGGGGTTCCTAAGGCCCCATCCGGATCCCCGAAGCTTCTCAGGCAAGTGGGGAGAGAGGGCTGAATAGGTAGGTGGCCTTTGACCCCTGGCTGCCTGGGTCTCTCCCCTGGCTCTCGTCTAGCCAGTCCCACAGTCAAGGCTCCCACTTTTAAGCTGTGCGACCGCGGAGAGGAGATTGTCACTGTTTTCGCTGTTTAGGGTAAACCCTCTTTTTTTGTTTACACCAACCATTCTTGGAATGATGGGCACACAGGCGCCACCATTCTGCTCCAGGATAATCCTCCCTGCACCTGGCCTGGCTGCACTGGTGAAAGGCGGAGGAGCACAAAGGGGGGTTTCGCACAAGCTCCCCAGCCTCTGTCTCAGTGCATCCCAAGCCACAAAGCCAAGCAAGGACAGCTTGGTCTTTTCCGTTCTTAGCTCTGTTGGCCACAGGGCCGTGTCCTAAACAGGACCTAGCGAAGATCTCAGGGAGGAGGGGGAAATGGGCACTTGACAGGGTAGAGAGAGACGGCTTGAAATGTGATGTGTCCAGCCCCTGCCACTTAGGACGCCTGTTGGCCGTAAGAGTCCTTGGGGCACTTCTTAAGCTCCAGGCTGGTCTGTGGTCTCTTGGGAGGGAGTACCCCCTCGATCAGGTGGGATTTTCAGGGCCTAGATCAGTAGCACCCCCAGCAATTCAGCCTGGCTATGCAGCATCTCTCAAATAGCTGCTGCAAGCAGAGCCACCTGGGAGGCCCAATGGAGGCACAGAAGGCACATCCTGCTTGGCCCAGGATCCCGCCCCAGAATTTTCCTTTTGCCAGCAAACATGTCCCCAGTGCTGGAATCAAGAATCGAGAGAGTATCTCTTCTCCCAACAGGCCGGGCTGGCGGGATGGGAAACATCAAAACCTTGGGCGATACATACCAGTTTGCCGTGGATGTCAGTGACTTCTCCCCCGAAGACATTATCATTACCACATCCAAAAACCAGATTGAAGTGAGGGCTGAGAAGGTGAGTGGCTTACTGCTGGGCTGGCCCCCCGTCTTGGAAACAACCGGAGCCATTTTTAAAGCAGAGCTGAGCAGTCCGGCTAGGGCTGAGGGGTGGGGTAGCCCCAAGATGCTTGGCTGAGAAAAGCTGAGGCAGCTACTTCCTTGGATCCACAGCAGTGGGGAGTAGCTTTTTCTGATCTTCAGGTTCTCTGCCTATCCCGCGAGCATCCCAATATCGTCCCACTGTGGAAATTAACAAAAAACGGGAGTTATAAGAGTTGTACTTTTTCCTTGGTTTGCTTGGAAAAATATTTAATGTGCTAGAGCTCCCCCTCCCTGCCCAAAAGAACCTGGATGTGCCCCCTGCAATCTAACGGAGCAAAGCCTGCAGCCTAGGGACAGCAGTGGCATCGCTGTCTTAAGAATGGCAGCCAAGAGGCTCCCTGCCCCCACCCGAGTGCCCTTCTGACTATGCTAGGGATGCACATGGCAATGGGAACATTCCCCGACTTGCCAGTCAATGCTGACCGAAACGCTGCCCAGGGAGCCTTTCTCCTGATGCCAGCTGCCTCTCTGGGGGCCAGTCTGGCAAAAGAAGAGACCTTTTTAGACTGAGTCGCCCCAGCTTCAGTTTTGGCAGCATGGCCAGAATTTCCCCATTTCATAGCGATTCGGGACGGGGCTGCCCTTTATTTTAGCAAGCAGGCAACTGAACTTTGGGAAGAGCAATTCACATCAACTTTCAGGATTCAGACTCTCGTGGGCCCTAACTGCTGTCTCTTTGTCCTCCTCCCATGGACAGCTAGCAGCTGATGGGACCATCGTCAACACATTCACCCACAAATGTCAACTCCCTGAAGATGTGGACCCCACATCGGTCACTTCCACCCTGGGGGCAGACGGCTGCCTGACCGTCAAGGCAAGGAGAAGTCCAGCCAAGCCATCGGAGCAAGTGCAGCAAACCTTCAGGACTGAGATTAAAATCTGAGCTCCAGGAGCAGTTCGGGAGAGCGGGCAGGGAGCCAGGCTGGGCTGGGTGGGGGGTGGAAAGCAGATCTGTCCTTGTGTTCCCCGTCAATAAGAGATGTTTCGGTTTGTCATCCAGGGCTGAAGGTTAAAGGGATGCCGGCAAAGAGCCTAAGCGGGCCAAAGCTGCCCTCCCCCCCTCCCCCTCCAACTCCCTTTGAAAGGGGAAAGAACACCTTTGCTTTTTGCCAGCAAAGGAACAGCAAAGCTGGAAGGCAGCTGGAGCTGAATTTTCCAGTTCTGCAGCCAGCAATTTTAACGTTTTGAAGTGTTGACGGGACATGAAAAAAAAAAAAAAAGAAAGAGGATGCGATATGAAATTTATACGATAGGAAATCAATGGAGTTTAACTTATTTAGGATTCCTGCTGTACATCTTGGAAGCATTCAAATTAAAATGTTAACACATTCATACATTAGATTCAGATTTCTTTTTCCCCCTCCCTTCCCCGTCCCCGTCTTTGCACCCCACCTCCAAATCCAGTTACACCCTACAAGCTGAGAGAGAGAGGAAAAAAAAAAACCTGTTCAGGGGAATTGAAACGATGTAAAAAAAAAAAAAACCAACAAATGTAAACTTTTAATTACAGGAAAATACTTTCTTCCAAATCACCCGCTGACTTTGGCTGTGTGAACGTGTATTATTTGGGGGGGGGGGCAGTGGTGGGTTTCAAATTTTTTTACTACCGGTTCTGTGGGTGTGTCTTGGTGGGCGTGGCATGGCTTGCTGGGTACGGAAAATCTCCATTCCCACCCCACTCCAGGGGAAGGATACTGCAAAATCCCCATTCCCACCCCACTCCAGGGGAAGGATACTGCAAAATCCCCATCCCCACCCCACTCCAGGGGAAGGATACTGCAAAATCCCCATCCCCACCCCACTCCAGGGGAAGGATACTGCAAAACCCCCATCCCCACCCCACTCCAGGGGAAGGATACTGCAAAATCTCCATTCCCACCCCACTCCAGGGGAAGGATACGGTAAAATCTCCATTCCCACCCCACTCCAGGGGAAGGATACGGTAAAATCTCCATTCCCACCCCGCTCCAGGGGAAGGATACTGTAAAATATCCATTCCCACCCCACTCTGGGGCCAGCCAGAGGTGGTATTTGCCGGTTCTCCGAACTACTCAAAATTTCCGCTACCGGTTCTCCAGAACTGGTCAGTACCTGCTGAAACCCCACCTCTGGGGTGGGTGAGAGAAACAGGAGCAAGGAAGGAGGGAGCTTTTGTCCTTGTGTTGCAACTTGCATCCAACACACACAGACACACAGTTTCTGAAGGCCAAAGGGCCGGGGGCAAAGAGGGGACGGGGGTGGGGGAAGAAGTGAGTCATGGTCTGGAAATAGAGCCGCCTGACGAAAGGCCCTCCAAGCTGGCTCCGACCCCAGTGAGGGGGAGGGGGCAAAGGGGGGCCCATTCCAGGCCCAGCCCAGCCTCCCTGCCCTGGAAGGGGGCTCCCCGAGCCGCTTCATAAGGCGGCCTGAGAGACCAACCCCCAAATCCAATGCTTGAGGAGAAACGAGCCCCCCACCCCAAGCTGCTGCTTGGGGGAAGGGGGGGGTAAGAAAGGCGCTCTCGGCCCACCTCGCAGGGCTGTTGTTGCTCACTCCCCTCCCCACAGGGATGAGAAACGCAGCCCGTTCAAAAGGGGCCGGGAGTGGAAGGCCCACACCACACTACACCACACGCCGGGCTGTTGACAGGATCCACACGGCTCTTGTTGGCAAAACACGGGAGCCAGCCCAGAAGCCGCCGCGCCCTCTGGCAGCTGCCGAGGCGGTTTCCCCTTTGGTGGGATAGAGGAGGAGGAGGAGGCGGCCGAGATTTACCTCAGCTCCCCCCACTCCACCCCGCACGGATGAAGCCGGGTGGTTGGTTCCCCCAAAGGCTTCGGGCCTACACCGGGCCTCGGCGCTTTGGTCGTCATGGCGACGTGACCTGCTCGGCGGCGGTGTGCACAGCCCCCCCCCCCTTCACCCGCGAAAGCTTAACGCGCCTGCGCGACAGGCCTGGGCGGGGGTAGGTGGAGGAAAGCGCGGGGGGGAGGGGAGGAGTCTACGCCGCGGCGCCTGCGCCGTAGAAAGAGGGCACCATCCGCTCTCGGAGCGCCGCTTCCGCCCAAGCGCAAAATGGCGGCGCCCTTTGTCTGTTCCGTGTCACCATGATCGCCGCCGCCGTCGGGATGATGTGACGCTCGTGGGATGGCAGGTGCGGGGCCGGGAGGGCGGGGGCCGAGAGGGCGGGGAGCGCCGGGACCGGGGGGGGGGGGAGGTCTGAGAGAGAGAGGGGCCATCGGTCCATCCCCGCAAGGCGAGATCGGGCAAAAGAGAGCTCGGGGTGCGGGGAGGGTTGGGTCTCCTTTCCGACGATCGCCGGGAAAGCAGGCAGGCAGGCGGGGCGGGGCGGCGGTTGTCAGGCGGCGCCCGGATCCCTCGCTTGGGTGGGATGCGGGTGAAAGGATGCGATGCATCCTCTTCCTTTCCCGCGACACAACAGCCTTGCAGGGTAGGCCAGGCTAAACTCTGCGGGGGTGGGGAAGGAGGCGTCGTCGAGCCCCTGATATGCCCCCCTCTCTCTCCCCCCGCCAGCCATGGACTTCCCGCAGCACAGCCAGCAAGTCCTGGAGCAGCTGAACCAGCAGCGGCAGCTGGGCCTGTTGTGCGACTGCACCTTCGTGGTGGACGGCATCGACTTCAAGGCCCATAAGGCGGTGCTGGCGGCCTGCAGCGAATACTTCAGGATGCTCTTCGCCGACCAGAAGGATGTGGTGCACCTGGACATCAGCAACGCGGCAGGTAGGGGCGGGGGGGGGGAGGGGGACACCTGGCAGACTGGAGGCTGGCAGCCTTGAAGCCTTCCCTGCTTTCTTTTATCTAAAGAAATAATTCCTTCAGCACTGTCGAACTATTCACTTGAGTCTGCACGACTATTAATCTTCTCATCGTTCCCATCATCCATCTCCTCCCACTTATGACTGCATGACTGTAACTTTGTTGCTGGTGTCCTTAATGATTTATATTGACTGTTTCCCTATGATTAGCATTAAGTGTTGTACCTTATGATTCTTGACAAACGTATCTTGTCTTTTATGTACACTGAGAGCATATGCACCAAAGACAAATTCCTTGTGTGTCCAATCACACCTGGCCAATAAAGAATTCTATCTATCTATCTATCTATCTATCTATCTATCTATCTATCTATCTATCTATCTATCTATCTCCTAGTATGATTTGATTGCTTATTTGTACCCTATGATTATCATTAAGTGTTTTACCTTATGATTCTTGATGAATTTATCTTGTCTTTTTATGTACACTGAGAGCTTATGCACCAAGACAAATTCCTTGTCTCCAATCACACCTGGCCAATAAATAATTCTATCCATCCATCCATCCATCCATCCATCCATCCATCCATCTATCTATTGCCTAGTATAATTTGATTGCTTATTTGTACCCTATGACTATCATTAAGTGTTGTCCGTTATGATTCTTGATGAATGTATCTTGTCTTTTATGTACACTGAGAGCTTATGCACCAAGACAAATTCCTTGTGTGTCCAATCACATTTGGCCAATAAAGAATTCTTTCTATCTATCTATCTATCTATCTATCCATCCATCCATCCATCCATCCATCCATCCATCCATCCACCCATCCATCTGTTTCCTAGTATGATTTGATTGCTTATTTGTACCCTATGACTATCATTAAGTGTTGTCCCTTATGATTCTTAATGAATGTATCTTGTCTTTTTATGTACACTGAGAGCTTATGCACCAAGACAAATTCCTTGTGTCCAATCACATTTGGCCTATCCTATCCTATCCTATCCTATCCTCCATTCCATTCCATTCATTAGGCTTATTTCCTGCACCTTTCAGATTTGGGAGCATCCCAATGCTAGGGATGGGAGATGGGGGTAGATCGGAGTGAGGGTTAGGGTTAGGGTTAGGGTTAGGGTTAGAGGAGTTGGCCTTGGTGAGGAACAGGATGCCAGCTTTGAGTTCTCCCCGAATGATCCCCTTCTCTCATACAGTAGCTGCCAAAGTTAGAGAGCCTCCAGCCTCTCATGCAGTCCAGCTTAGAGCAGCATTGACTAAGAGGTGGGGGCCTGTGCTTTGGGAGAGAGCATCCTGAGGCCGGCAGGGAGACGGGCAGTATTTGGTGACTGCTGCCAGCACTCATCTTCTGGCTGTGGGGGTGTCTCCTGCAGGTCTGGAGCATGTGCTGGAATTCATGTACACGGCCAAGCTGACCCTCAGCCCGGAGAATGTGGAAGACGTCTTGGCCGTGGGCACCTTCCTTCAGATGCAGGAGGTCGTCCAAGCCTGCAACACGCTCAGGGCCCTCTCGGCACCAGCTGGCCTGGAGATCCCCACAGTGGCTGGTAGGGCACTTTCCTGTCCTTGGGTTCAGATCCCTTTCTCACCTCAAACCCTGGGCCTGTTGGGAGGGGAAGCCATCGTCTCCAGCCGGGCCCAGGAAGTGCAGAGCTGTACTTCGGCAGGTTTCAAGAGCCAACATTTCCGGGGTGTTTGCGTGTAGGCTGTGTCCTACAAAGGGGGCATTTTGTTATACTAATGCCAAACTCTCACAGCGGAAAGCTGATGGAAGCGATACCGGCCTTTGGAAGACATGGGGAAGCACCAACAAGGGAAGGCCTTGCCAATGTGCAGCCCCAACTTCCTAGCTTGAGGCTGGGTCTTTGGGGTGGGGGTGGGGGTAGGGGGAAAGGACAGGCAAGCAGGAATGATTTTGCTCTCCTGGTCTCAAAGCACTGTTGACTTTGTTCTGTTGGAAGCAATGGAGGGGATGCGATGCGATGCACCCGATATGTGCTTGGCCGCTCTGGTTTTCTTTCAGTGTTGTACTGGAAACTTGGGGTCTATCATTAGAGGGGTACGATAGCTATAGATCTGTTGAGCCAGAAATATTAAGTTTTTATGATGAACAGGTAGGGCCATCCAAGGACTGACAATCTTGAGCTGGCTGCGGATGCCCAGTTTCTGTAGATGTAGTGGAAACGGGAAGGTTGGGTCCTGCTGACCTTGATGGGCAAAAGCATGGCAGGCTAAAACAGATCTTTGGACTGGTCCCCGAGGTGGGGGGAGGTTGCCACCGGTTGTCCTGCTTGCTGGGTTTCTGGCTGGAGAGGCCTGAATGGCTTTTGCTTGCTTCCTCCCTCTCTCTCTCTCTCTCCCCCCATCCCAGGGCAGGAGAAAACGACCAACAGCAGGCACAAAGCAGAGTTGGAAGCCCCCAGGGAGCAGGAGGAGCCGATCTCTGGCAGCCTCCAGCCGGCCGAAGAGGCCCATCCTGCTGAGGACCCGAAGGATGAGGCGATAGCGGCGGAAGGGAGCGAGACTGGTCAAAGGCCAGGTAGGGACCAGGAGTCTCTTCTCGGTAGCGCAGCTGCAGGGTTAATGGGAAAATGCACTGGAGAAAAGCAACGTTTTCTCTTCTATCTTTTTCCTGGTTTCTCCCAAATCTCAAGATTTGAGAGACGCAGTGGCTCAGCGGCTAAGACGCTGAGCTTGTCGATCGAAAGGTTGGCAGTTCAGCGGTTCGAATCCCGAGTGCCGCGTAACAGGGTGAACCCCCGTGACTTG